CTAATGTCAAACTGATGGCGCTCAGGACCTTGCAAAAAGCAGTGGTCTTCATTCTAGTATTTGACAGTACTGTAGGGAGTTACAGTAAACAATAATTTATCGCATATTTCAAAATAGCTAGAATTGTAATGTTCCCAATGCAAAGAAAAGATAAATGTTTGAGGTGATACATATCCCAATAACCCTGATTTGATCATTACACATTGTGTACATGTATCAAAACATCACATGTACCCCTAAAATATGTATAACTATGATATATCAATTTAAAAAAAATCCCCCCCCAAAAAAGCAGTGGTCTCCAAATCTTTAAAAATCATATATCCCTGTGAGTAAATTTTTTTCCAAGCCTGTACCACAAAAATATGTATGCGTGTACAAATTATAAAACACATACCCCAAGCAAACATTAAAATGAGATAAATAGAACTTCTATTTTATGTACCCCAAAAGATGATCTTGCATACTTCCAGGTATGCCCCATTTTGCAGGCCACTACTCTAGATATAGAGGTGGTTGATGCTTGGCATATACTTCAGCAGACTAGAATACTCAGCTGGCCCAGACCGAATATGCCAGAGTGAGTAGTGGTATTCTTTACAAAGCTATAGTTTCCCTTATGTTTGGAGATGCCTTGCAGGTACTGCAAATACATCAGATCATAGCTCATTTAAACTGGGCATAGAGTTTTTGTTTTGTTTTGTTTTGTTTGAGACAGGGTCTTGCTCTGTTGCCCAAGCTGGAGTGCAGTAGCATGATCATAGCTCACTACAGCTTTGACCTTCTGGGCTCAAGCAATCCTATTACCTCGGCCTCTCCAGCAGCTGAGACTACAGGCACATGCCACCATGCCTGGCTAATTTTGGATTTTTTTGTAAAGATGGGGTCTTGCTATGTTGCCCAGGCTCATCTTGAACTCCTGGCCTCAAGCAGTCCTCCCACCTTGCCCTCCCATAGTGCTGGTATTATAGACATGAGCCATCATGCCTACCCAGGGCATGGCCATGTTAAAAGCATGTTATGAATTACAATAAAGACAAAGCCAGGATACTTATTTTAAATTTCTTTAAAATTCTTAACTCGATTTTAGAGGTAGGCATGAGCTCTTTATAAAGAAGCACATTTGGAAAAATGGAATGCCCTTTCATTCTGGGCAATCCAGCATTGTATGATGATCTTTCCTAAATGTAATTGTTTAAGAAAAGCTGAAGAGCATCCTCGAGACTCCATCTCAAAAAAAAAAAAAAAAAAAAAAAGAAAAAGAAATGCCTTAGCCTCAGGGGTTAAAATTCTGGCTGCTTTTTCACAATTTTGTAGATGTACAAAGGTCCTGAACTTTGGCCTGGCAGAGGAAGCTCGCCACCATAGCTAAGTGTGTCACTGGGAAATGTACTAACTATAGCAACTGAACTCTTCTCTAAGAAAATATACATGTTTTTACAGCTTTCAGCTCCTTTTTAAGTGCATATTTGTGGGTTCCAAAATGTTTCCTTATGTCTTCAAGGCCTGATTTTGGTTATAAGCCTCTTGTCTATTTTCATGTACGGAGGGGAAAAGACACAACTATTTAAAAGTTAAAATAGGAACATAGAAGTTGACATAAAATCCAAAAAGAGATTCGTTTATAACTAGAAGATTTTGTTTTAGTTACTTTTAATTACACTTTAAAAAAATACATTAAAAAAATTCTTTTAAATATCTTATTTTCAAAGTTAGTATCTACAAAGATGTATTAAAAGAAAGCCTCTCATTTTAATTTGTATTGTTCTCATTAGTGTGTCCTGTGCCCTAGGAACGATAGTTTTAACACCTATCTCCTGAATATTTGTCTTCTTTCAAAATCCCAGTTCCTTTTCCTATCGATGGGTCTGGCAGCAGATACCGGGAAATGTTACACTCACTACCATAGCTGCCTAAGACAACTCAGTAGTAGTCAGTCAACATTTTTCTCTTTCCTGATGTGCCTTCCATCTACTGTACTTGGATTAATTTTTTTTCTAGTCTCAGAGTAGTTTTGAATAGAATTCCACTTACCCTAACATTATATCACTCTGTATAACTTGAAAAATGACACAGTGTTCTTTATTAAAATTCTGATTTCCAGTAATGGAAACTTTCGTTTGAAATTGTTTTAAGATTTGCAAATAAGGAAAGTTTAATAATGGCAGAATCAAAGGTTATTCCTTAAATAAGGGTGATGATGTTTACATATGCTAGGTTTATAAAGCCTTTCCCTATATCTAATACTCCTAAGTAGTTCCTCTTTGTAGTTCTGCTAACATATTTTGTAACTGTAGCCATCTGTGTTGAATGTGGTCAAGCAATGTTTCACTTCTTAGTCTTTCCGCACGAAAGATCACAGGAAGAGTAAAAATGACCTTCACTTTGCATCATACACTTAATCCACAAATGTTTGTAGGTAAATAATATAATCTTGATTGAATTATATTTTAAATGCATAAACAAACCTGCCAACGGAAGAGATTATACATTCCTTTATAGAATGAAAAGACTTCCTGCAGTGTACACAATTGTTTCTTTCATTTACACAAGGTGAAATAAGTACTTACTCATTTCTGCCAGTTTCTGCTGAAATTTGGACTCCCCTGGGAGATGTTTACTGCAGATTTAAAAAAATGTAAAACATTTCATGTGTATTTATAAATGGAAAACTCAAATTTCCAGTAACTGACGCTTTCGATGCCTTATTTTAATGCTATTATTTTAGTGAGTAGCTTTTAATTTTAAAACTTAAAAACTAACCATCTAAAACATAAATGTCACAAATTTATGATGCTATATATTTTTTCAGTGGTTCTTACAAAACATAGTGGTTAATATTTTTAAAGAGAACATTTTTAAATTTAATGTTAATAACAAAATTTTATGAATAGCTTTGTAAAAAAGATCAGGGTTTATTAGTTATCTTCACTGCATGTTGGTACACAATTTGTAAGGTGTTTTTAACTTTGCACTACCCTCATATCTATTATTTTGAGTCATTCTCACAGCTGCCAAATAAACTTGGCATGAAAGAAAGTGGTATAAGTCAGGAGCAGTGCTAAGACTCTGGATTCCCCAGATGACCATCTCAGCTACTGGAAAACATTCAAAAATGGTTCCTACCTTCCATCTGCTTCATCTGATCCTTCAATATCAAAGCGTAGTTTTTTCAGCGGTTTAGGAGGGTTGCTTCCTTCAGCACTTCTTTTGAGCACACGGTCGCTGTTACACACCATCTGATTTATTTTCTGGAACTTCTCAGAAGTCTACAAATTACATAATTCTTTACTTTAAATCATTAAGTGCCAGTGTTTTGTAGTTAGCAACCTCAAGTTATAGTTTGAGGTGTGTCAAAAATCGGGCAGAGGTAATCACTTCATTTTAATTTTCTGCTTCATTGGACCAAATAAAATATATGAAATATCTAAAAATCAGAATAACTACCTAATTCCCTCCCCAATTAAACACCCACTCTTTGTAAATCCTCCTGTCTTTTCCCATGCAGCTCACATTCTTCCTCCAGCAACTGCCTAATCTGCAAGTGCTGGTTCCTCATTTTCAGGACCCACTATACAGGACTACTTTTCAGAAGTAGGCAAGTCAGAATAGCTTTCTGGAAACTTGCTTTTGTCATTTTTTTTTTCTTTTAGGCTATTACATAACCAGAGGGAAGGTCACAAGAATTTGATAAGAGATGATGTGTTCAACGAATAATAATTTTTGATTCACTTTGTGGGTATTATGTTGACAAGTCATATAGACTTTCTGATAGAAATTATATCTGATTTGACTGATAGATTCAACAGTGAGAATTAGCTTTGCCAATTATGCTTTATTTTCCAAAAATTAAATAAGTGAATTCTCCCAATATTAAATTCAAAACAGGTTTTGATGGTAAATCTATCTGGAGCACATATACAATTTAACAAAAACTAAATCCCATGCTGCTATTAAATGTATAATATTTTAAATTATCAGCTTTAAGATATGGAAGTACATTCAACTTTTTCCCAATTATTTTAGAGGTTATGGCAAGCAAAAATGTTTGAAGACCACAATGTGATACCTAGCCAGCTCCAACTGTCCTTATAAGGTCCCATAGCTCCTTTGTAAAGCCTCACAGCTGCAGCCCATCATGAACTATTTGTAACGCACATTTTAACATTTGGTCATTTGGCATACAAACTTTTACCTCTCCCTAGTTACTTGAGGCAGTGTGGTGGGCAGCCTCTCAGATGGCTCCCAATGACCCCACCTCCTGGTATTCACCTCCTTGTGTAATCCTCCTCCCCTCATGTGTGGGCTAGATCTACTGTTGTCTTGCTTCTAACCAAAATAATATACCAAAAGTAATGGGCTGTCATTTCCAGAATTAGATTACAATAAGACTGTGACCCATCTACCCCTCTCTTGCTCTTTATTTCCCTGCCTCCCTCAGAGTCCCTGCTCTGGGCAAAGCAAGCTGCCATGTTGTGAGTAGCAAGTAGCACTATGGAGGGGCCCAAGGGCAAGAAACCAACAGGCATCGAGGATCAGCCAACAGCCGTTTGAGTAAGTCTGCCAGTGAATGCTCCTCTAGTGGAGCCTTGAGATGACTGCAGCCCCTGCTGACACCTTGATCACAGACTTTGGAGAAACTGGTCCAGCTAAGTCATGCCTAGATTATTGACCCACAGAAATGAAGGTAATAAACATTTGTTTTAAGTCACTAAGTTTGGGGGTAATGTATTATGTAGCAATACATAATATAGGCAGTCTTCGCATTCCTATAAGAATATAAGCTCTCTGGCCAGGCGCAGTGGCTCACATCTGTAATCCCAGCTCTTTGGGAGGCTGAGACAGGGGATCATGGAAGCCAGGAGTTCAATACCAATCTGGCCAACATAGCAAGCCCCTGTCTCTACAAAAACTTAAAAAATTAGCTGGACATGGTGGTGCATGCCTATAGTCCTGGCAACTTGGGAGGCTAAGGTGAGAGGACTGCTTGAGTCGAGGAGTTTGAGGTTATGGTAAGTAAGTGACAGAGGGAGACACTGTCTCTAAAAATAAAAATAAAAAAATTGAAAATATAAGCTCTCAGGGGAGTGGAGATGGTGCAACATATTAATAGTAATGCATACTGAATATGGGACTGCTGAATTAGTGACTTTAATGGAAGGCCAACTAGTGTTGTAGATTTGCAGCCTAGAATAAATGTTTCAAAGCAAAGCTTTCCCTTGGATCTCCTAGAATGAAGCCCTGCCACTTTCATTGAGGCAGGATCTCATGTAAACAATTCCTAATCAGTGTACCAGAAAAAGAATATCCTAGAAGTCTGAGAAGTCTGAGAGGAAGGACAAGCAAAAAGTGCATATGTATGGAAGGAGACCAGTAGGCAGGGACAGGCTGGTGACATTTGGATATCGGGCTTACATTTTGGAGTATCTCATTTCAAATCACACTCATAATGAGTGAATTTCAAAACTGTTTTATAAAATTCCTGTGAGGTTATGTACATACATACATGGTATCATAGAGAGATATTTGTTCTTTGTCCCCGGTTCCTGGAACAGAGCTCCTAAAACCCTTCGAATTTCCTGAGTGATAAGGGTAATGGGACCCTCTTTTGTTCTAATGAGGTGATACTTAGTGCATACCTAGCTAATTTAGGATGAAGCTGGTTGCCAGAAAGACCAGGTCTTGAGCAGAAGCTTGGAACTTTCAGCCCCACCCTCTATCCAGGGATGGGAGGGGGTTGGAGATTGAGTTAACCAATTATGCCTACATAATGAAACCCCTATAAAAACCCCTCAACAATAAGGTTGGGAGACCTTTGGAGTTGGTAAACATGTCTAAGTGCTAGGAAGGTGGTGCACCCCAACTCCCCAGGGACAGAAGCCCCTGTGCTAGGGACTCTTCTGGACCCCACCCTATATAATACTTCTTCATCTGGCTGTTCATTTGTATCTTTTATGATGAACTGATAATAGTAAGTAAAATATTTTCCAGAGTTTTGTGAGTAGTTCTGGCAATGGATCAAACCTGTAAGGAAGAGGCACTACTGGAACCCCCCAACTTTGTATCCAAGTCAGAAGGAAGTATGGTGTAGCCTGGGGACCTGACGCTTGTGACTGGTGTCTGCAGTGAGACCAGTTTTGTGGGACTGAGCCTTGAACCTGTGGAGTCTGATGCTGACTCTGAGTAATTAGTGTCAGAATCGAATTGAATTGTAGAACACCAGAGAGTTGAAGATTTGTGTGAGAAAAAAATCTTACACATTTGGTGACAGAAGTGTTATGAGCAAAAACAGCTCACGTATATATGTATGTATATACACAAATGTATATATGTATTATATAACCTCAAATGAATATTTAGAAAAGTTTTGAAGTTCACCAATTAGGAGTATGATTTGAGATTAGGAGTATTTTATATATATATATATATATATAAAAAATAAATTTCTATGCAATATGCCTGGATGAGGTGTTTGAATAATTACATTTAGAAACTCGAATTATTGAAAGCTTTAATTTCTTTTATACTTACAATGCATACTATTATATTTCATAGAAAGAAAATACTCACCCCAAATGATTCACCAATTGATACTAAGATTCTGTCAAGTTAAGATGAAATGCCAATTAGTAATAAAAAATCATATACAATTTTGCAGAGACGAGCATAGATACATCATTCTGAACTATTAGGAATACTAAATTAAAGGTTACCTCTACCCTAGAACTACTGACAAACTATATTCATTTGGGAATTATTGTAACAGTGCCCATTTAATCATATACTCACCTAGTCTCTTAGTTTTACAGCAAAAGTTATAAGTCTGCAAGAACATATTCTGCTATTGCCCATATTTAGGGAGGGCAAAGGAAAGTTTCAAGTTTACCCCTACTGAGTTCTTCGTAAATCAATGGGTAAGTTATCAAATTTCTTTCATATTTTCTCATTTAAAATTCAAGTAATATTTGGAAAAAACTTACAATATTAAGTAATAATCAGAATTCTAATTAGCCTCTATATTGATATAGTAAAGGCTATCATATATCATATATGGAGTCAGAAATCTTTATTAGTCTGTCTTTATTTGAACCATATAATTTATGTTCTTGATAATAAATCTGAAGAACATCATTAGACTGACATGACTCAACAAAGATTTGAAAACATGAACACGGAACTAGTGAATATAGAGAATTTTTTGTCCTCTAATTCCTTGATAAGTGGCCATCATTCTACATATAATATTTGATTAACCAGAACACCTAAATGTACCAGGTAGTGTTAAGATGCTCTCCTAATGCCTGGTCAATGATTTATTAGTTAGGATGTTCAGAATGTGACTTTCTTGCTAAAGAATACCAACACAGAATTTATTTCACTAAGGATCAGCAAGTAGCCATCATTATCACCATAATATGGACTAATTATCACTATTAAAGAAAACTACCTAAGTATACATTTTCATATAGTGGCATGGAACAATGTAAATTTTCTTAAATAGACATGACGTGGCATCTTAGCAGCTTAGAACAAGTAGTAGGTATCAGTACACAGATATCCAACTACAAGAACACCAAATAAATAAAGGATGATACAGAGGCACATGAGAGCATTTGTATCATATTGCCAATTATTTCTCACTTCATATTTTTCTGTAGAGTTTGAAATTTTTATAATGAGTACGTACTACTTAAATAATTAAATATACCATGCAAATGTTTTCTGAAAGGCCAACATATTCCCCTTTTCTTGCCCATTAGGTACAACCATATGGGCTGATAATTTCTGAGATGAGACTACATTAACTATACTAGCTAATCTGCCTCCTACTTTACACAAATAAAGTCAGTTTCAAATAGCCCGTGATAACATATAATTAGTCAATTGAAGCACTTCAAAGCCAGAGAGCACTTGTGGTTGGATGTGGAAGATAATATAATGATTTGTAGTTGCACACAACCTTTCATCTGAGCATTTAAAACAGCTTCATACTCATCATTTCCCTGATCCACAGCACCCTTGTGAAGTACAGATAGAGACCTGCCCAAGGTAAAGTGGTAAAGTGGCCGCCAGCAGGATTAGGGATGGACCTCTAAAGACTTAATTGACAGTAATCTACATTTAATATAACAAGCAAAATGAACAAAATCCACAGGAAGCAAAATTTACAGGACATCCAATAAACTACAAACTAAAAGTACTCAACCTAAAGTAACCTGCTTTGTTTAGCAGATTGGCTACTTAGAAAAATATGAAAGTGTTTTGAAACATATAACCAAACTGGTTCTCAAATTGTTTACAAAAGAAGATACCCTAACAGTCAGGAAATCTGATAAGTAAATGTGTAAACTCATCCAAGTAAATAGATTTTCTTTCTCTCCATATTCTTATTATGTTACTTAAATAAGCAAATAGAGTTTCAAGAGTCTAGCTTATTTGAAATGAAGAAAGCTTTATATTTTTTATTCTTGGATCAAAATAATCACCCTCTCATTCTTTACTACTTCCATAAAGAGAAAACACACACCTTGATCTTGGAGTCATTTTCGTTGGTGTTGGCAGACCTTCTGAAATTTTATATGGACTCTTCAGGGGTGAAATATAGATGTTCCCTCCAGGAATCCGTAAGGGCGAACTAGGAAACTTGTAAGGACTTCGAGGAATGTGAGGTATTGGTGACAAGGTAGGGGGCTAGAGCAAAAACAGAAAAGTAGACCATTTATTTAATGTTTTGGTGGACCCATTACATTAGATTTTTCCAGTCAAAGGATACTTTCGACCTACCCTGGTGGAAGCATACTGCAAAATATTTGTTTTCAGTCTCTGCATGAAGACCGAGTTATAGAATACTATAATAGAATCATACTCCTCTTCTTTGATCAAAACACGTTTGAATGTCTGAGAAAGAACAGTAGAAAAAAAAAAAGTAAAATTTACTTGTTAAATGAATTTTAAAATTTCTACCTTTAGATTTTCTTTTCTAATAGTTTATAATACTTTTTGACTGATAAGAAGCACATATTATAAAAGAAAAAAATAATCTAAAATTACTTCCTAGGCTTGGATTATAGCTGCTCTCCGAGAAGTGAAATGTCACAGAATGATTGAGAGAAATAGCCAGGCAGCAGCAGATGGAATAGCTGGCCATCTAAGAAGACAGGAGTAGACAGGCTAGTAGAATGGAAAGCATGATCAAAGGGAATCAAAGGGCCAGAGCTGAGCGAAAGCCAATAACATTATGTATCAATATTTGGACTACATTCTCTGGCCTGTACCTCCTGGTATTCCCCCCAATCTATAAGGGTTTAAGTATGCATTACTCAATTGCAAGAAGTAGACATTTAGTAAAGGCACTATATTTTAGTGATAGATTTCACTCAAATTTTAGGTAAAAACACAGAGGTTATATCAGATGCCTCTGATATATACAATTAAAATGATTGAATTTAGAAAATAACTTCAAACATACAAACAAAAATGACTTGGTTTGTATTACTTTTGAAAACTCCAATAATAAATGGGAAAAATATCCCACAACTCACTTTCCACAAAACAATATGAAATATGTCATACCAAGTATATTTTACTACTACTATTTCTCTAAAGGGAAGGTAAACCAGAAACACAAAATGTGTTTATACTGAACATTTTTATTATTTATTTGCAAGGCTGCATTTATATTGGCTTTTCCTATAAACTAATACAAATAACTTCAAAGAATATCTAATGTTCTATGACTCATGTCAAGTTTATTACAAATACCTGCCTATTACAGGGATAAAGTATTACTTGTTAACTTTATTAAAAAATATGGATATGGATAATTTCATTATTTGCCTTATCTTTCCAATTCTATTTAAGTTACAAATAAATAATATAACAATTTTCATTTGTGAATTTACAAAATAAGGTCAGAATATATGATCTCATTAATGAATAAAATTACCTATGTTATGGATACGGATTTATCAAAAAAACTTACTATGGAAAATTACCTACCTCCTGAACAGCATGAGGAAGATCCTTGTATGCTGTTACGATGATTTTGAATTTAAGGTCTATATTCTTCACTTTGCATATGCCATACATGGAACACATCATAATCTAGTAAATAAATATGATGTAAAAGTAGTCAGAATTTTATTACATGGTTTTATTCTTAAAAAATACCATTTTCTTTCTTTTAGCCTCAAAAAAGAAAAGTTTAATTTCCTATAGAGTTATTTCTTTCCACACTGAGCTCAGTTTGAAATTCTACATGAAATGTTTAACCCAAAGTGTGTTTAAAGAACAAAATGCAAATCACAAGGCTCAATTATTCAGGACTGATCACCTGGCTTGTAAATTACCCTAACTTTGGCTCTTGTCCCTTAAATGTTTCCCAGAAAAGCTGAAACTAGAATCAATTAATTTTGTATAACTAGCACTTTAAAAAGCCAGATGTGAAAACATTTCAAACTATCAGATAAAATAATATTGAACACACTTGGTGGTGGTGGTGAGGAGGCCATGGTGACTGGAAGGGCATGTAAGAGAGTCTTATGTATTGCTGACAATGTTTTGTTTCCAGATCTGGATGCTGGTTATATAACTAAGTTCAGTTGATGAATTTTTGTTAGAATGTATCCTTTTGATACACAGGTTTTTACGTATGTGTATTACATTTCAATAAAAGATATTTTAAATGCAAAACTAAGTTCTGAAAATGATTCCCTGTGACTTTAAAACATCAGACATTATTTGTATGAACTTTACAGCCTAATTTAAGTACTCATTACTTCTGCAACATTCTTGCTCTTACCTACTATTGCCAAGAGTGCCAAATAATCATCTTTTGCTTGGCATCCTACAGCCAAGTGTAGACAGTGTAGTACTGGCATAAGAATACCTTATGTAGATCAATGAAACAGAATTGAGAGTCCAGAAATAAATATTTACATATTTACAGTCAACTGATTTTTTGACAACTGTCAATGAGGAGAGAAAAAATCTTTTCAAAAAATGGTGCTGGAACAACTAGTTATCCACATACAAAAGAATGAAGCTGGACTCCTACCTCAACTATATTAAAAAATTAGCTCAAAATGGAGCAAAACCTAAATGTAAGAACTAAAACTATAAACCTTTTGGAGGAAAACAGGGATAAATCTTAACAACTTCAGATTTGGCACTGGTTTCTTAGATATGACACTAAAGCATCAATAACAAGAAAACAACTACATAAATTAGACATCATCAAAATAAAAAACTTGTGTTTCAAAGGACACTACCAAGAAAGTGAAACAACTCACAGAAAGGAAGAAAATATTTTCAAATTATGTATGTGATAAGGGACTTGTATATAGACTACATAAAGACCCCTTACAGTTCAATAATAACAAGACAAATAACCCTATTAAATAATGGGCAGTCTGGGTGTGGTGGCTCATGTCTGTAATCCCAGCACTTTGGGAGGCCCAGGTGGGTGACTCACTTGAGCTCAGGAGTTCGAGACCAGCCTGAGCAACACGGCAAAACCCTATCTCTACAAAAAATACAAAAATTAGCTGGGCATGGTGGTGTGTGCCTATGGTCCCAGCTACTCGGGAGGCAGAAGTGGGAGGAACACTTAAGCCCAGGGATTCGAGGCCGTAGTGAGCTATGATCATGTCACTGCACTCCAACCTGGGTGACAGAATAAGACCATGTCTCAAAACAAAATGGGCTGGGCATGGTGGCTCACGCCCGTAATCCCAGCACTTTGGAAGTCCGAGGCGAGTGGATCACAAAGTCAGGAGTTCGAGACCAGCCTGACCAACATAATGAAACCCTATCTCTACTAAAAATACAGAAATTAGCCAGCGTCGTGGCACACACCTGTAATCCCAGCTACTCAGGAGGCTGAGGCAGGAGAATCGCTTGAACCCGGGAGGCAGAGGTTGCTGTAAGCTGAGATCATGCCACTGCACCCTAGCCTGGGCGACAGAGCAAGACTCCGTGTCAGAAATAAAAAATAAAAATTAAAAAAAAAAATGGGCAAAGGGTCTGAATAGACATTTCTTTAAAGAAGATATACACATGGCCAGTAAACACATGAAAAGGTGCTCATGATCACTAGCCATCAGAGAAATGCAAATCAAAAGCACACTGAGATGCCACTTTATACCCACTAGGATGGCTATGATTAAAAAAAAAGATTTAAAAAGTTGGTGAGGATATAGAGAAATTGGAACCTCATACATTATTGGTAGGCATGTAAAATGGTATAGCCACTTTGGAAAATGATCTGGGCATTCCTCAAAAAGTTAACATAGAATCATCATATGACCTAGCAACTCTACTCCTAGGTATGTACCCAGGAGAAATGAAAACATGTACATAAATGTTCACAGTAACATTATTCATAATGGCCAAAAAGTGGAAACAGCCCAAATGTTTATCACTTCATGAATGATAAGCATAATGTGGTATATACTCATACAATGGAATATTATCTGGCAATGAAAAGGAATGAAGTACTGATACAAGCTACAATACAGATGAACCTTGAAAACATGCTAAATGAAAGAAGCCAAACACAAAAGACCACGTATTACATAATTCCATGTGTATGAAATGTCTAGAAGAGGAAAGTCCATAGAAAACAGATTAATATTGTCTTGGGCTTAGGGGGTAGGGGAATAGCGGGTGACTGCTTGAGGGTATGGAGTTTCTTTCTGGTGTGATACAAATTCTAAAATTGATTGTGGTGATGTTTGTACAACTCTGTGAATACACTAAAAACCACCGAATTGTGCATTTTAAATGGGTGGTTTTTATGGTGTGTGAATTATGTCACTAAAGCTATTAACTATATATATGTATATATATATTTTTTTTAATTAGAAAAAAAAATTTTCTGAGACAGGGTCTTGCTCTGTTACCCAGGCCGGAGTACAGTGGTGTGATCTCAGCTCACTTGCAACCTCCACCTCCTGGGCTCAAGAAATACTCCCAGTTCAGCCTCCCAAGTAGCTAGGACCACAGGTGCAAGTCACCACACCTGGCTAATTTTTAAATTTTTTGTAGAGATGGGGTTTTGCCAGGTTGCCCAGGCTGGTCTCAAACTCCCGAGCTCAAGCGATCTGCCCACCTCAGCCTCCCAAAGTCCTAGGATTACAGATGTGAGCCACCGCACCCAGCCAAAAGTATATTGTTCTTATTAACCTATTTTATAGAGAAAAAGGAGGATATGAAAGATAATTCTCTCACTGTAAACTAATTGATTTCATTCATTCATTCAATAGGTATTGTTTTAAATCAACTGATTCTTAAGTCTCATGCTTTTTTCACACTAAAATGATATCCAGCTCACTACTACACAGAAAAAGCCTATAAGAAGATTCTTCACCTATTTTTTTACAGGTAAGATCTTTTGTCTCATTAAATAAGTAGTTACTAAAATATACTCTTGAGTGTTAAAGCTTTAATTTGTAAGAATTACAACAAAAATGTAAATGGTAGCCAAAAAATGAACATATATTAAGTCTAATAAATTGATCTAGTTTCTCATTTGAATCTAATATTTTCTTTAGAAATCACTTAACAAGGCTGGGTGCGGTGGCTCAAGCCTGTAATCCCAACACTGTGGGAGGCCGTAGGCAGATGGATCACCTGAGGTCAGAAGTTCGAGACCAGCCTGGCCAACATGGTGAAAACCTGTCTCTACTAAAATACAAAAATTAACCAGGCGTGGTGGTACATGCCTGTAATCCTAGCTACTTGGGAGGCTGAGGCAGGAGAATCACTTGAACCTGGGAGGCAGAGGTTGCAGTGAGCCGAGATTGCACCACTGCACTCCAGCCTGGGCAACAGAGTGAGACTCCATCTCAAAAAAAAAAAAGAAAAAAGAAAGAAATCAGTTAACAAGTAAGTAGGGAGGAGAGAAGGTGAAGTGCTTGATTTTCTTACTTGGTCCAAATGCCTGTCTCTCATGAGTTCATACTCATTCTGCAGCGTATGCTGGAAAAGGGTCCAGATGATGTGTTCTAGTTCTGGGTGCTCAGATAGAAGGCGTTCACATAGTGTATTTAGCCGGAGATAGGCTAGCCGATACACTGTGGGGATAAGAAGAATTAGTCATTTTTACTGTTCATTTTGAATTACAAGTAGATTTTTTTCAAATCATGAAATTGCTCTGATTATAATGCTGTTAAGTAGCATTTTAACAGAAACCTCATTTCTGCCACTTCCCCCCCCCCCCCAGAGAAACACGTTTACTGGTTTATTATGAAGGATATTACAAGGGATACAAATGAAGAGATGCAGAGGGCAAGGCATGTGAGAAGGGGCATGGAATTTCCTTGCCCTCCCCAGGCATGCTTTTCTCCAGGAACCTCCAGCTGGGCAGATACCCAGAAGCTCCCAGAACCAGGTCCTTTTGAGTTTTTATGGAGGCTTCACTATGTAGGCATGAGTTTTTTTAAAAAAATAGGTGTTTGGGGGAACAGGTGGTGTTTGGTTACATGAATAAGTTCTTTAGTGGTGATGTTTTAAGATTTTTCTACTACTATTTTCCTTAAAAATAATTGATTCCTTGTGTTAGCACAGTTCTAGGTACATATAAGGCAGAATGATACATGCTGAATTAACTATTATGGCATGAAATTGGGGCAGAGGTGGGAAGTAGTGGAGGAAAGGTCATAAGACACTGTAAAATTAGGCCAACCCAGTAGGGTTTGTTTCAGTTCCATTAATAATCACTCACCATTGGTCATTCCCACTATCAATATTAAAGAGGAACAATCTTTTTAAAAATTATATAATTGCCAGTGTCTATGAATTTTTCCAGTCCTAAAAAAATTAAACCACACATTTCTCTATAAAATACCAATGGAGCATACTGTGTTGAAAAGTGGTAAACTTGTAGATTACCTAAGTGTAAAATGACTGCAATATGTAATTTATTTAGTCTATAAAAACTACTGAAAATGCAAATTTGGCAAAAAGGAATCCACAAAATTGAATTTTCCTTCATCTACTTTAAATATCATATAAAGACCCTTTATATGTCTCTTTCAATGACTTGTAAAAGCTAATTTTAAATTTTTAAAGCTAACAATTTATCTCAGTGGTCTTAAACTTTAGCATACATCAGACTTAGCTGGAGGATTGTTAAAACAAGGTTTTGGGGGCCCTATCTTAAGAGTTTCTGATTGAGCGGGTCTAGGTTGGAGCCCCAGAATTCTCATTTCTACAATTTCCAGGTGATGTGGATTCTGCTGGTTGGGAATGACACTTTGAAATCCACTGCTCTAACCTAAGGATAATATCTGACAATATGCCTGTAAAGCTCAGCATAATTCTTACTTGAATAAAATCAGGAAAAAGATTATCATGGAGGAACATGACCTTTTACTGTCTTTCAAAGAGCTCCAAGTGGGTGTACACTAGGAAGTATATGCGCGTGCACAGACACTCAAATCAACCTCCCCACCCCACAATATATATACACACTCAGAGAATGCTACATGACCTGGTTACTGGCCTTCTTAAAGGTCCTGAAAATATCCACTAAATGTGTCTGCAGTAGGCAACAACACACTACTTTTGTATGTACATCACACCGGCTGCAGCAGGGAGGCATGGATGGGGCGGCATGCTCCAGGAAGCCCGGGGGAGCTGGGGACAAGTAGGAACCCCGCCCCTTCCGAGTAGAGACAGGAGCTCCCCAGTGCTTCTGCAGCTGCCCAAGCCACCGCTGCAGACCCAGGCATCCCTGTGCTCTCAGGGCTGGGGAGCAGGTGGGATCCCACCCTCCCCAGTGCAGCTGCAGCCACCCAAACCATGGCTGTGGACCCAGGCATCTCTGTACTCTTGGGGGCCCGGGAAGGCACCCCCCTCACCGCCACCGCCCTCACAGGCTCAGAAGTGCCTGCTCCCACTGCCTGGTTTCTCCCTGCTGCCAGCGCCCACTCCAATCTCGGAGCAAAGTCAGGGCTGAGCCTGGGTGCTGTCACAGCCCAGCCAGGTGTGCGCACGCTCAAGGCAGCGCTGACACACCAGCCCCTGCCGCCTCAGCCCTCTCCAGACTTTGAGCGCTGACAAGCATGGGGGAAGCCAAAGCGGGGGCTGAGGGCAGCTTGGCACTGGCCTGCAGGTGCCCCTTGGCGCATGGATGGCAGCAGGAGGCAGATGGGCCTCCTGTTGAGGCCCCACCTTCAGGCCAGGGAGTGCCTGAAGGCTAGGAGTGGGCGCTGCCAGTCCCACAGACCGGAGTGAGGACTTGTGGTACCTTTTCTGGGCCCACTAGTGGCTGCCCATGGACCAGTTGATACGTACTTTCTCCCCACTGAGGCCCATAGAAGCCCGAGGCTCAGCCAGAGCAGAGCAGAGGATGAGACGATGGGACAACTAGCTGCAGAGAGGAGCTACCCTCTCTACTGATAGCTGAACACTTGTCAGGACCAGCAGCTGCAGAGAGGAGCTACCCTTTCTGCTGAGAACTGAACACTTGTTGGGATGACCTGCCTGCAGAGAGGAGCTACCTTCTCTGCTAGGAGATGAACACTCATCCCGACATTGTGGTTACAGAGAGGAGCTGCCCACTGTGGGTCTTCTTTAAGCTGTTCTATTGCTCAATAAATCTCCCCTTCATCTTGCTCACCCTCCACTTGTCTGTGTACCTCATTCTTCCTGGTTGCAAGACAAGAACTCAGGACCCACCAAATGATGAGGCAAAAAGGACAGTACCACAAACAGGGCTGAAACGTGCCCCTTGCTCACCATGTTGCGGATAAAGAGAAGAGCTGCGGCCCTTCGCGCAGCCCAGAATTGGGAGCTCCCTGAGCCAGGGCTGTGACTCCCTCTTTGGGGCCCTATGGTTTCTGGCATCTCCAAGCTTCTGGGGGCCACTTTATTGTTCCCTGATGCCAGCTGTGGAAATTGCTTGTGGTGTGTCTGGTCCAGCTGCAGCCTCACAGAGAGCCAGCACCTGCCTGCCCCGCTGCAGGAGCCAGTATTTCTGACTGTGTGCAATGGCCAGACCTCATGCTTGCTCACACACCCCTCTCTGTTCCACGTTTGACTTGCTCCTGGCTGGCATGGGACCCAAGCCAGTAGTGTGAGCCAAGTGCAGCCTGTCAGGCCAAGGGGGTGAAATGAGCCCAGTGGGCCTGAGCAAAACTCGGTCAAAGGCGCCACCGGCCACAGAGGTTTCCGGCCAGAAAAACGACTCTGTGAATAGTCAGGAAAGATCTCACGACATTATCATTTCCATTTTATAAATGAGGAAACTGAGCCACAGAGATATTAAGTGACTTGCCCAGTAATGTACCTAGAAAATAGAAGAAACATGATTTGAACCCAGTCAGCCTGGTTTCAGAGTCCATGCTCTTGAAAAGAATCATCTACTAACCTTTTTTATAAAACAGTGAAAGAGAGGTAGATTTCAATGGCTTCTGGGTCTGGAAGGCTGAGGTTGCTTGTGTCTCTGCATTTGCAGTAGAATTTACACGTGTAGTTGAACCTTTTTTCTTTGGAGATCTTACAGGAGAAAGATACCTAGATATATTTAAAGGAAAAGTCTTCATTTGAAGTTGGCTAAGAATCACAGACTATACACACACTTTAAGGTTGTATACCCAGATACATCTTGTCTATTTAATTGGTATTGTATATCAAATTCACTGAGCAGACTACTTAAATGTAAGCTGGGAAAGATATATTAATAGGAAAACTGCTTGTCATCATCATATCTAACTCTATTTTAATAAATGGCTTTTCCTGGGGATTGCTGCCTTATTAGAAAAAATAGCTATATATGTATAATGTACAATTTTAATAATTATAGTGGGATTGAGACCATAAGATGATTCCAGCTAAAAAAAAAAAAAGTATTGATATTAGTGTTACCTTGTTTTTGTGATTCTCCCCAAAATTTTTTTAGTTGTAACTAAATACGGTGATAACTTAGATATGGTTCATATCTAAGATTTCAGTTACACACACAGATTTACACACACCTAAATCACACAGTACAGAATTCTATGAATTAATACTTCAAATAACATTATTCAGACAGATTTACACCTGTATACTAAATATGTCAGGCATAACTCAAGGCAAGGATATTAGCAAATATTATCATTCTGTGCTGCCCCCTATTTAACAGAATAATCTAGATCTACTTTCTGATTTTCTTTTGGTAGTTGGCAAACAAACTTATTTTTAAAGACATAAATTTTAAGAACAAAGGAACAGGAAGTAGAATTTATACCTTACTACGGATGTTTCTACAACATGTAGTATATTAACTAGTACACTAAGAAAAGCAACTCATTATCACAATGATTTTAGAAGGACCAGTGTCTGGTCTATTTTCCACTTTGGATTTTCATTCAGTTTACTGACAGTATCGTAAACTG